CCACCCCGCGCGGCGTCTCCGAACCGAGTCCTGGGTGGAGACGACGTTCCTTTTTACCACGAGCAACAATGCCCCAGACGCCTTCCATATCCCGGATGTAAAAAAGTGACGACAATTTGAAAGACGGCGAGGCATGCCAGGGCCCCTTTCGAACCTGGATGGCGAGATCATCAACAAAAGATGCATCTGGAGCCTGGGGCCATGCTTGCTGGATGGCGTCGGTGACTCGCAACGCTAACATATTCAAGTTCGCGCGCCGCCTGCGCAACCTGCCACCGCCGCCGAGAACGCGCGGATGGCGCGCTTGGACAGTCTACCCACGAAGGCTACCAGACCAGTGGAAGCGCGCAGTTTTCATTCGCTTGGCCAGCCCCAGCAGGGAAATCGCGCAGAGAGCGACAGCCCGCAACAGAGGCACGGCGACATGCTCGAATGCCTTCGAAAAATCGCGACGCGCGCGAGGGAAGGGGGGGGGGACCAACGGGGCGGGCGCCCCCCGTCTCCTTCGAGGAGAGGATACACAAAATGAGCCGAACTTGCTCTGGCCACAGCGACGCGCGAGAGATGAACACGATTCGCTGGGCGAGGCAGCATTCACCTGCGTCCGGGAGCCGCGCCCGCCAACGCCGACGCCAGCGGCCCGCTCCTGTCCCCGCCCCCACAGGGGAAGCCCAAACGGATCTTCGCGATAGTCTGATGGCCCAGGTGGACCAGCGGGCGCTCAGAAGTGGTGGCCCCCCAGGGACGGCCCCCGAGGCCCGAGCTGATTGGCCCGCGATGCTGCCAATGTCGAACTGATTCCCCAGCGGCCTCGCCAGCCGCCGCTCACGGGTCAGCAGGCTCGCGGTTGGAGGAGGAGGAGGAGGAGAAGGAGGAGGAGGAGGAGGAGGAGGAGAAGACTGAGAAGGAGGAGAGGAGGAGGAGGAGGGAGGAGGAGAGGAGGAAAAGGAGGAGGAGGAGGAGGAGGAGGAGGAGGAGGAGGAGGAGGAGGAGGAGGGGAGGAGGAGGAGGAGGAGGAGGAGGAGGAGGAAGAGGAGGAGTGGCCCGCGACAGGAGGAGGAGGAGGAGGAGGAGGAGGGAAACCCCGTTTTCTGACCCGAAAGATGAGTCACGCGCGTGCAGCTGCTCCATTTTTCATGCGTTCTCTCAGTTCTTTGAACCGCTCTGAGGGTTGATTGCCGGCGCTCGACTGCAGCGCTCTCCCCACCGCTGGCTCGGCAACTCAGAACGCCATGGGCTTGCTCCCTGAACGCTCCCCCTTCAAGTTCAATATTCATGAAACGGCGCGCGCTAGCGGAAGCCCAAGTGCCGGCCTGGTCTGCAGTTTGGGCATGATGGATGAGGCCCCCAGCGCTGAGGCCCCCAGCCCGACACTTTCAGAGCTCCGCGCGGAGTTCTTGGATCGGCGCTGGACCATCCCGGCGCGCTGCAAACGCGGGCTTGCCACGCCTGCACCTCCGAGTGCCTGCCTTGGATGCGTTCCTGCGCACGGCGCAATTCCGACTTCGGGCCGCTGCAGGGCGATGTTCTCGCAATGCTCGATGCCCAGGCTGTCGGTGGACTGGAAGAAGAAGGCCTGGTCGACCTCCACGTCGAAGGAGGTCTCCTTCGGCTTCGACTCCTCGAAGCCCGCGCGGATCCCCGCTTCGCCCGCCATGGCCTGGGCTGCCAGCTTATTGGCCGCCTTGGCCACTGCCAGAGCGGCTTCGCACCCACTCTGCCCTGACCAAGTTGGCGTTGCCGTGGCATTGCTTTGCATCAGTTTACATCGCTTGGCATTGCGTGGCGTTGCTTCACAGTGGTTCGTCTTGCAGGCCGAGGAGTCAAGGACAAGGAGCCAAACCCAAGGAACCCGAGGACGGCAGCAAGGAACCAACACCGAGGGAACCAAGGAGCCAAGACCAAGGATCTCGGGGAAGGCCGACCAGCGCAGGCCGCGCACCCAAGGGTTCTTCAAAACAAGTCAGAAAGCGTTCTGGGCAAAGCCTAATTGGGGAAATGTCTCGAGCCAACGTTGCTCGAGCGGATGAAGTAGGTGGAGAAGCAGGATAATCAAGAGGAGGAGGAGGAGATACGAGGAGGAGGAGGAGGAGGCGGAGGAGAAGGAGGAGGAGGAGGAGGAGGAGAAGGAGAAGGAGAAGCAGGAGTAGAAGCAGGAGGAGAAGCGAGAGCAGGAGGAGGAGGAGGAGGAGGAGGAGAAGAAGGAAGGTGTGCAGGAGAAGGAAGATGAAGGAAGAGGGAGGACGAGGGGGATGAGATAGGAAGGAGCGGGAGACGAGGGAGGGAGGAAGGAGGAGGGAAGAATGAGGGGGGAGACGAGGGGGAGAGCGAGGTGGACGAGGTCGAAGGAGGAGAAGAGCAAATGATAAAGGTGATGAGGAGGAAGAGGAACACGAAGGAGGAGGAGGAGGAGGGAGGAGGAGGGGAGGAGGAGTACGAGGAGAGGAGGAGGAGGAGAGGAGAGGGAAGAGGAGGAGGGAGGAGGAGGAGGAGGAGGAGGGAGGAGGAGGAGGAGGAGAGATGGAGGAGGCGGATTCGAGGGGGGAGTAGGAGGAGGAGGAGGAGGAGGAGGAGGAGGAGGAGGAGGAGGAAGAGGATGAGGAGGAGGAGAAACAGGAGCAGGAGCAGGAGCATGAGCAGGAACAGGAGGAGGAGGAGGAGGAGAAGCAGGATGATGACGAGAGGGAGGAGGAGGAGGAGGAGGAGGAGGAGGAGGAGGAGGAGGAGGAGGAGGGAGGGAGGGAGGGAGGGAGGGAGGGAGGGAGGGAGGGAGGAGGAGGATGGAGAGGCGGAAGGACAAGCTAGGTGCGCGCGCGTCATATCTGACGTCCTACCCCTCCCTCCCATCCCTTACCATGGCGCTGATTTTCTCTATCCGCGGACTAGTGGGTGGTGGTGCGCGTGCGTGCGTGCGTGCGTGTGTGCGTGGTGGTGCTGGTGCTGGTGCTGGTGCTGGTGCTGGTGCTGGTGCTGGTGCTGGTGCTGGTGCTGGTGCTGGTGCTGGTGGTGATGCTGGTGGTGGTGCTGGTGGTGGTGCTGGTGGTGGTGCTGGTGGTGGTGCTGGTGGGTGGTGGGTGGTGTGTGGTGTGTGGTGTGTGGTGTGTGGTGTGTGGTGTGTGGTGTGTGGTGTGTGGTGTGTGGTGTGTGGTGTGTGTGGTGTGTGTGGTGTGTGTGGTGTGTGTGCGCGTGTGCGCGTGTGCGCGTGTCTGTGCGCGTGTCTGTGCGCGTGTCTGTGCGCGTGTCTGTGCGCGTGTCTGTGTGCGCGTGTCTGTGTGCGCGTGTCTGTGTGCGTGTCTGTGTGTGTGTCTGTGTGTGTGTGTGTCTGTGTGTGTGTCTGTGTGTGTGTGTCTGTGTCAGTGTCTGTGTCAGTGTCTGTGTCAGTGTCTGTGTCAGTGTGTGTGTCAGTGTGTGTGTCAGTGTGTGTGTCAGTGTGTGTGTGTGTCAGTGTGTGTCTCTGTGTGTGTCGCTGTGTGTGTCTCTGTGTGTGTCTCTGTGTGTGTCTCTGTGTGTGTCTCTGTGTGTGTCTCTGTGTGTGTCTCTGTGTGCGTGTGTGCGTGTGTGCGTGTGTGCGTGTGTGCGTGTGTGCGTGTGTGCGTGTGTGCGTGTGTGCGTGTGTGCGTGTGTGCGTGTGTGCGTGTGTGCGTGTGTGCGTGTGTGCGTGTGTGCGTGTGTGCGTGTGTGAGTGTGTGCGTGTGTGAGTGTGTGAGTGTGTGCGTGTGTGCGTGTGTGCGTGTGTGCGTGTGTGCGTGTGTGCGTGTGTGCGTGTGTGCGTGTGTGCGTGTGTGCGTGTGTGCGTGTGTGCGTGTGTGCGTGTGTGCGT